CTCATTAGATGCGTATAAAGTTTTGATTGACCCAAGAAAATTTGGCAAAGTCATTCAAATTAGAAAATGTGAATTTTAGTATCTTTCGAGCCAACATACCCTTTAGCTTTCAAAAATAGATTAAACTGTATTATCCAATCCAAAAGCATTTCTTGTGCAACTATTTTTGAATTTTGCTCTACTTTTTGTATACGTTATTGCTTATATAAATCACTCTTATACATATCACGATACCAGCTTTACACTTTAAGAAAATTAATTATTAATTGAAATAATAATTATTTATTGCATGTATATATGTGATTTTAATATCGCATTCTCAAGATTTATTTCGTATATTCACTTTAAACTCGATATTGAAAAAGTTATTCTCTCTTTTTCTCCTCCCTTCCGTCCTTCCCCTCTCTTCTTCTCTTTCTCTCTCTCTCTCTCTCTCTCTCTCTCTCTCTCTCTCTTTCTCTCCCTCTTTTTCTCTCTTTCTTTGTTCTCCTTTTAACAATATTTAAAAATAATTTTACTTTTTATTTCCTTGTGTCTTGTGATTTGTTATTTATTAAGTTCATGTATAGAAATAAATTGTTAATAACTCAAACATTTTTTGAATTATATTTAGATGATGAAGATACCGGTACCCCACCACCTACTTTGATCAGCCCGACTGATACTTCTGCCGAAAATGTCACTATTCATATTTATAAAGAAAGCAGCACAGGCGGACATTGGTGTGCTCGAATTATATTTTTTATTTTATTGGCTGTTCTTGCAGGATTAATTGGTATAATAATCTTCGAACATAGAGGAACTACAGATGGTAAATAAAAAAATAAAATATTTCGACATAGTGCAATAATCTTAACTAAACGTAAGAAGAAATTTATGCTAAAATCACATCTTTATATTTTATAATTTTTAAGTTGATACGCCGATAGCATCGTCACGTTGGGCAAGTATATTTGAAGGCTGGGTAGATGATTCACCATCCAATCATGGCGAGCTAGAAGAAAAGCAAGAAGTTAACGAAGAAACAGAGGGAGAAGAGGAGGAAGAAGAAGAAGAAGAGGGGGAGAAGGAGGAGGAAGAAGAAGAGGAAGAGGAGGAAGAAAGGGAAGTGGATCGTGATGAAAAAAAATTAACAAGAGTTGAGAAAGAAGATGATGGAAGTATAGAACAAGATATGGAAGAAAATGGCGAAGAAGAAGAAACACAAGAGGAGGAAGAGGAAGAGGAGGAGGAAGAGGATGTCGACGAAGAAGATAAGGAAGAGGTAGAGGAAGAAGAAAAATGGCAAGAAGAAGAAGAGGAAGAGCATAAAGAAGAAAGAGAAAAGAATAATATAGAAGTTGAAGATACATCAGATGGTACGTGAATTGCGCTACATTATAAAAATTCCAAGCATATTTTTTATTAAAATAATATCTTCAGAATTTGATAATGACGCGCAACAAGACGCTGCTGGCATATTAGAAGAAATTGACGAGACAGATGAGAACGAAGATGTAGATGAGGAAAACAATATGATTGATATGGAACTTGATGAATTTAATACAGTTGATAATTCTGCAGAAGAGAAGAATGATGATGTACCTGAAGAATTCCCAAGTATACCTGGCGTTAATGAAATCGATGACAACAGTGCTGAACCTCTAGAAGAGGTATATACATATTGTTCTCTGTTAATTTTATATGTATCGTTTTATTTATAACTATTTCTCTAGGATTATCTCTTTTCGATTATTTTATTTATATTTATATTACGATATTTTGTCATTGATGCCTTTTTATCAGATAGAAGGTGAAGAAGTTGAAGAAGAAAATTTAAATGATGCAGATAGTGAACCCGAAGAAGAAGAAGTTGAAGAACCTACTAGTGGTAAGTCATAGTAGGTAGTTCATAACAAAACATATATCAACAATGTCCTCGAAATAATTACATAAATAAATATATTTACATTATATTTGATCCTCCATGCTCTTTTTTCATCTCGTTTAATTTTAAATGACATATAATAACCACAGATAATATAAGCATCATCATTATAGAATAAAATATTAAAATTAAAATATTAAAATATATTTGCTTTATATTAATCACGATATTTTCTTATAATAAAAAAGGTAGCAATCAGAAATAATATCGTGGTTGCAGTGGCTGTGAAGTTTGGGGTTGGTGTTGCACTTGTTGTTGCTGCGCATTTTGTTCTCGTTAGACGGTGGAACAATGGTAAATTTAATTTTCATTATACATTATCAGTATATTTTTTATAGTTGTAGTTATAGGGTATATAAAAAAATTATTAATATAACATATATTAGATGTGAATCAATATCAGATGTAAAAATATTGAAATAATTATATTTAAAAAAATTAAAATGAAATTTTGCAGGTAAGTAATTTGTTTATGTAGATATATTTATTATAATTGATCATAATTCAATTAAGACATATTTGACATGTTTAAAAAACAAAAATTTAGAATCAATAAATAATTATATTTTTCTTGTACATGTTAATAATATGTATCACTGAATGATTCAATTTTTTAGTTGATATTGGTACTTTTCGTTCTCCGCATGATATAACCAACGTACTTGATCAATCAAGAAGTGAAACAATAATTTCACCTTCTCACCTTAAGCAAGTAATTAAGTCAATTGAGAAAGTTGAAAATAAAACATCTTTGCAAGTAAAAAATAACGAAGATTTGAGATCTAAATACAATAAGTTGCAAGAAGATAATATTTCTTTAACCGACTTAACGAAACCGATTCCACAAGATGAAGTAACACAAGTAAAAGAAAAATTTTCAGCTCGAAACACAAGTAAAGAAGGTATGGTGTTAATGATATATCATTTTTCGTTGTATTTTCTTATATCTTTTGTTGATAAATTATACAACAGATTTGTTTATTTATATTCTTAATCATAGAAATGAATATTAGACATGGTCAATCTAAGATATCATCGGAGGAAGAAGAAGAAGAAGAAGAAGAAGAAGATTATGAATTAGAAACATCAGAAGGTGAACGTGTTTCTGAGTTAGAAGAAGACGATGGAGAACAGATGAAAGATAAAGCTGAACAAGAATATGAAGAAGAAGAAGATGAAGAAGAAGAAGAAGAAATTGAAGATGATGAGGAAATCGAAAATGTTGATGATTCCGAATTAATAGCTAAATTGGACGCAAAATATGGAAAATTATCTACTCCACAAGATAGTGAAGTTGAAGAAGTAGAAGAAGAGGCGGAGGAGGAGGAGGATGAAGAAGAGGAGGAAGAAGAGGAAGAAAAGATGGTTGAAGAGGAACATGATAAGATGCCAAATTGGAAACGTAAATAGTAAATTATTAATTTTAATATTCTTTTTTATTCTAATTAATAGTATGATTAACAGTATACATAATTTTTTGTTAAATATATAATAGAGAAATTAGTATACGATTCTAGAAAATACTTTGTTGTCATTTTCTCAGATTAAATATTACCATTTCCCAGTTACAAATAATTTAAATTTTACATGTGAGACATAATTAAAATGAGCATGGAGGATCTTTGTTTTAATCCTTCTTAACATTTTTTTAAATGTATACAATAAAAAAATATAGATTTAAATATATCTTTCTATTTTTGCGAAATTATTACTTTTCATAAACAGGTGCTAAAGAGTTAAAGGGCTCAAATGTGGAACCTCAAACGAAAAGATCCATTCAACAGACAAGGAGGGAGATTAAGCAAGTGGATAATAAACAACCTAAAGGTGGAGAAAAAGCTTATGATTTTAGTAAGAATACATCAAATATAGATGATACAATCGTGTACGAAGAAAATAATTCTGAAGAATATCAGATTGATAAAGAGTTTTACAGTTTTTAGAATGTATGTTCTTGCAAAATAACTTTGATGAGACATACCTGTTTTTTCTTCTTTTGATACATCGCTACTGTTTTCTCGATATTATATT